ATATATATATATATATATATATATAATATATTATATATATATATATATATATATATAATATATATTATATATATATATATATATATATATATATATATATGGGAAAAATGAATATACCCTTAAGGGTATATAAGCTATACCCAAACCCACTATAATTAGTTGTTTCATTTCATATATTCATTATAATGTTATTAAACTTCAACCTTAACTTGATTTACTTTGAAGATTTTCGAAATTTCATGATTGTTTTTCTCTTATATCACTTTTTTTTGCCGAAATAGGTTATATATATTAGAGTTGAAAATGAAAATTATGTAAGAGGAAGATAAATGTGAAATTTATAAAAATCTTAGAAGTAAATCAAGTTAGAAGTTGAATTATAAGAACATTGGACAATTATAATGTATACATATGATACAAACAACATAGTATGGTGACTTTGGGTACCTAAGTTTATATACCCTTAAGGGTATATTCACTTTTCTATATATATATATATATATATATATATATATATATATATATATATATATATATATATATATATATATATATATATATATATATATATATATATATATATAGGTTCAGGTTCATTTGAGACCATTCTAATTTTGTGAGACCGTGAGACCAAATCTAAAAATAATTTTAAAATGCAAAATAAATGGAAAAATCCAAAAATTCTTTTTTTAAATATTATTTTCGGAACTTGAATTAACTAAAAAAAATATAAAAAAATAAAATAAAAAAAAATTCCTTTTTTTTTTTTGAAAAATACGTGAAATATTCTAAATAGAATATTACACTGACATATTCTAAAAAATAATTTTAAAATGCAAAATAAATGGAAAAATCTAAAAATTCTTTTTTTAAATATTATTTTCGGAACTTGAATTAACTAAAAAAAATAAATAATAAATAAAAAAAAATAAGAAAAAATTCTATTTTTTTTGAAAAATACGTGAAATATTCTAAATAGAATATTACACTGTACATATTCTAAAAATAATTTTAAAATGCAAAATAAATAGAAAAATCAAAAAATTCTTTTTTTAAATATTATTTTCGGAACATGAATTAACTAAAAAAAATTAAAAAATAAAAAAAATAAAAAATGCGTCTCACGGTCTCACAAAATATAGGTGATCTCAAATGAACATAGCCCTATATATATATATATATATATATATATATATATATATATATATATATATATATATATATATATATATATATATATATATATATAAACACTAAAAACAATAAAAATATATTAAAATAAAGCATTAAAAAAATTAAAAATATTCAAACGAAATGCTAAAAAGAATGTAAACAAATAAAATTAATTTTTATTTAATGATTATAGTTACTAGTTTATAACCCGTAGGAACCACGGGTTATAATTATAATTAATTTTTCTTAATAAAATTTTATAATTATTAATCAATTATTTTAAATAAATTATTAATTAAGATATATATCAAAATTTTAAAGTTATTATAAATTCAAATTTAACATATAATTAGAAAATATAAATTTGAATTTTGAAATGAGTTGTCTAGTATATATACATGATATAATATTACTGAAGAGTTGTATTAGAATAACACTTAACAAAAAGAGATTAAAACTATATATATATATATATATATATATATATATATTATATATATATATATATATATATATATATAATCAAGTAAAAAAATCCTAAAAACCATTTTTTATGAATACATTAATTAGAAAATAACTAAGAAAAGCATTTATGTGTAAATTAATTGATTATGAGATACATTAATTACCATGGTTGATATTTTGTAAAAAAATCTAATATAAAAACATGAAAATAAAAATATACTCCATGTATTCAGTTTGAATATTAGATGTATAAAAAAAAAAAGTTGTGACTTTCATTTACCAAATAAGCAATTGATTTTCACTTATATCCACCCCCCTTTCTCTCAACACACCTAATTTAACTTTTGCCCTAAAATCATCGGTGACAGAGAAAATTCTTCCACCACTGGCTACCTTTGCTCCAGCTAAAATACACACCAAGTATAATCCGATTTTAATTGCTCATTCTGAAGTTTGATCGGAGTTATGGAGTATTGGATGTTGGATGACAACATGAATGAAGGTAACACAACATTAAATGATGTTGATTTTTTGTTTTTTGAACATAACATGATTATGTTTGTCTAGAAACTTACCTGTTTGATTCGCAGATGATTATTGTTGAAGATGATACACAAGTGGGAATTTGTTGAAAAGTAAAGATTAAAGCTCTTTTTCAGTGGAAGCAAGAATCGGGTATGTGTGATTATATATTTCTAATTTGAATTCTGAAAATGATAAATAATAGGCTAATATTTAGGCAAAGTATAAATCGGATTAATATGATTAAATAAGAGATTGATTTTATTTGATTTAATTTCCAAATGAGTATCACATAAACTTTGGTAGGTGTGTGATAGATCTTGTGCACATATTTTAGACCCATCGATGTATATGAGTTCAAATTCGCCAAAACGTTTGTTGTGGATGCCATTTCCCGTTCTCTTAGTTAGACTTTGACTCCCACTTAGGTTTAGTTGTCTGCTGTTGTGGAATCTAAAAGATTGGATTCCGACATAACCAGAATTCATGGGTTAACTTGTTGTACAAATGGGTGAAATTCAGTTGCATTCTTTTTTAATAAAAGACCAAAATACCTATGTTCTATATATCTAAATGAATAATTACGTATAAAGATTGATTTCAATGTACTTTGGTCTTTTAACTCCTTTCAAGTGATTTGTTTGGTTGCAGTTGTTGAATAGATATATGGGAGGACTTCGATCCCATTCTTTGTTGGAATAAAGGTTTTTCTACCAATAAGTTTGGAGAAAGTCCTACCAAGGGTTCAATCCCAAGAGAAAGAGGAGTTACGTCAAGAAGAATCAACTCCTTAACATCACCTCTCAGAATTCCACCTTGAATTATTTCTCCCATGGCAACTGCTTCATCAGGATTCACTCATTTACGTGGAGTCTTCCTAAATATTTCAGTAACAACCTCCTAATCTTTAGGGACACGTGTCATTCCGACCGCCAGAAGAACTTCATCAACCTCTTTTGTTGTGATTCCAACATCCTTCACAAGTTTTAGCATCAGATGCATCAGTTGTGATGAATGGATGGTTGATGTATGTTTGGTTGTAGAAGAGAGCTCAATCATGGCTTTCTCAGCTGCTTCCCTTAGTATTTCAAAGGCACGACAGTCTTCTGACATGTCAATTCCTTATGTTCTTTTAAACTCACTCACAATAAACTCCAGCGTTATGTTTTGAAAGTTCTCTCTTACAAGGAATGTGTCCCCAATCATTGTTTAACCAATATGAAAGTAACGGTTTCAATTTTGGCCCCCGATCTTGTTCAAAATTATATTTTTGGTCCGTAATAGTTTAGTCTTGCAATTTTAGTCCCAGAGTCTTGAAGTTGAAAACTATCTTAAAAGAGTAACCTAATTTGGGTAGGATGATAACACCGAGTGTAAAGTTAACAAAAAAAAAATTGTTGTATAACATTCTATTTAACACATAGGTTTATAACATGACTTTTGTGTATTTGTAGGTTTTCTCATCTGGATGGAATCCAGATGGCTTGCTACAATCACCTTAATATTATTAAATTTGTTTACAGAGGTCTAGCAGCTTGAAAGTGGATATGATTTCAAGTAAGTGGTCTTATTTTTCCTGCATATTAGGAATTTATGTTTCTTTTTCTTTTATTTCTAAATTAGGATAAAATTGATAAAAAAAACACATTTCCTTATTTTGAATAGTTGTGGATAAAATTACAATAAACAAATGATAGAAATAGATGGAGTAAAAAATAAATAAATTGAAACAGGAAGAACGAAACAGTAAGAAAGTGGAAGAAAAAGATTAAATACCTGATGTTTGAACTTGCTTTTTAGCAGATTCCAAGAAATAGGAAGAAGAAAGTATGAAGAGTTTAAGTATCGCAACGTATGCAGGTATATATTTGTATAATTATGTCCTAAAATGTTAAGAATGTTACAAATATTGAGAGATAATGGAATTACATAAAATGGCAAGATACTTTTAGAGTATGTTGCCATTTAATGTTATTACTTGATCTTTTGTAGAAATTGTCCTTATAGTCTATATTTCTGTATTAATATTTTGAACTTAACCATTTGTATAAAAGCTTTAAAAACCAACAATATACTACAAAATATTTACGTAGATGACAGTAATGTACATATAAAGTTTTTTTTATGTATCCAAACATATGTCGTGAATATTTTAATAAAAAAATAGTGTCATAGATTGACCTCTATGATTATCGTTTCAGAAAAAAGAGAGGATGGAAGTGAAGAGTTTTGTATATTAAACATAATGGATTGAAATGTATGAATGTAGATGCAGAAATGCGGAAGAATTATACCCTGAAAGATTTGAAGACACCAGTGAAGAAAACAATTTTAGGGATAGATATTTGTACGTATTTATAGGTATAATGATAAAGTAATTGAAATTTCAATAGCTGATTTTTAGGGATATCATATCTCTATATCTCTATAATTTTGAATGTATAAAAGGAAAACATAAATTGAATGTTTTAAATGCAGATAAATTGTGGAGTATTAAAACTGATTTGATGATTTGTTGGAGTTAATATGATAATTTCAAATTTTGAAGCAAAAAATGGATGGGAAAAGAAGGCAAATTGTATTTGTGGTAGTGAATCGTGGAATTACAGAGGTTTAAGAGGGGGAAATTGGAGTATCAATAGCTGCTTTTTAGGGATATCATATTTGTATTCTCTATATTTCAATGCAGGTAACTTTGGAGCATTAAACTGATTTACTGATTTGTAGGACCTGATTTATGAAATAAAATTGCAGTTGTGGTATTTAGACCTTGAATTTAGGAAGCTTAAGAGGCAGACACACAGCAGTTAAAGAACTTGACAAATGGTAGTAGGAGATTCAATCTATTTATTTATTAGAAAGGAAGATTTAAGAAAAACAAAGTAATCATTAAGGGTCCATTAAAAGTTTAAAAGAAATCCATATATATATATATATATATATATATATATATATATATATATATATATATATATATATATATATATATATATATATATATATATAATCTTTTAAACCAAATTCTCATCATTGTCTAACTTATAACGAATCTAATAACACCTTAATTTCTCAAATAGAGAAGGTAATCAAATACATCCTAACATCATCTTTGATAGTAATAAAATAAATAATAAATAAAGTAAATCCTAGGAATTTTACATCTTTATGGAACTCCAATGTTGTCTTGGTTGGAATAATGTCTAAGACTGCAACTATTTTAGGCAAGTATTTGACCCGATTGTGCATGGTCGTTTTGGGTTGCCTTCACCATAGCAACTTGACAGGGTGATTTATTATGAGAGAATAAATATTATTAATATATTATGAGAATAATATAAGGAATAATAATATTATTATTTGATTAATATAAGTCATAAATTAATTAGGTATTAATTTGGTGACTTAAAGAGATTAATTAAATAAGAGGGTATAAACTGTCAATTGTTTGATAGTTACACTTTGGGCTGTAAATTCTTCATGGATAGGGTTGGACGATTTCTAGGGCTTGGGATAAGCCACAAATCGTCCAAGGGCTTATCTTGGAAAGCATTTGGATTGCTTTGAGTAAAAGTTATCCAGTGAGGGTTTACGGATGAAACCCTAGGAGCCTTACAAGTATAAATAGATCTCTTGGGGTGGGGAAATCGACACCTGTGTCTTTGGAAGAACCCTGGCTGATTTTTGTCCTCTCTCCTCTTTCTCAAATCATCCTCCTTGCTAGTTGGTGTTTGTAAGCCATTAGAAGAGTGACATTTGTGACTCTAGAGCTCCAAGAACAAGAAGATCAAACAAGTGTTTCAAGGTAAACTTCTAACTTTGATTTTGTATTGTTCTTATACCTTATTAGCCATTATAAGTCTTGGATTCAATGCATGTTTAATTAGAGAAACCTAGATCCAAGCATTAGGGTTTGCATGTGCACATAGGAATGTTCATATGGCCAAAACCCATCAGCGGTATCAGAGACTAGATTGGTTTCTATTAAATTGATGCATGGTTGTTTGTTTCTTGCTTGTAGAATTTGAATTTTGTGGATCTGAGTGTTGAACTCGACAAGTCCCATAGTGGACTCGGCGAGTTGCCTTGACTCGGCGAGTCCAATTGGGTACTCGACGAGTCCGAATGTCAGGAAGAGCAAAACTCGGGATTTTTTGATATTTATCTTATGGAAACTTGCCTTTATCATATTAGATCAACCTAAATCCGATTTTTTGATATATATGACTATATGCTTGATCTAATTGAAGATGTTTATCAATTAATAAAATATTTAATTTCCTTATGTGATAATTATTAATTATTTTAATTAAATTGATAAATTGTTTTGCAAGAAATAATTAAATAAATCAAATATGGATAATTATGTGATTAAATGTTAATTTAGATTATTTGTTATTTGATCCTCTATGTTTTTAAAAGTTTAAAACCTACCCTCAAGTTTTGAAATTTATGTTTTGTGATTCCAAGTTTAATTTGGACAATTTAAATTTCAAACCCGAGAATTTTATAAGTTTAAAATTCAACCCTATACTAATATAATATTACAAGATTAATATATATATATATATATATATATATATATATATATATATATATATATATAACTAAAATACTAGTCTTACCGTTAGTAGGCCTCATTCACGAAGCCGGTCTGTAAGGTGGATATACGGTTGCTGCCTATAAAATGGCGCTTAATGGGTGTACACTCACACCCACCGCTTGCTTGATCGGTGGAGGGTCGTTAGCCAAATGGGTAGGATAGGGCAACCTCATCTCCTCATTAAAAGTATAATATGAAATACAAAGTAACTACATGTTTTTTCAAAATTCCCAATCCTAGTTACTTTAGGAAAAGTGAATTGATGCAATCCCATGAAATTACACTTTGCACCCTTGCTAAGAACTTAGTGGAGCGTGTTTGGTTTACCAGCACACTAATTGGTTCTAAGCGAAGGATGGCAAAGGGTGATTCATTGTTTATCATAGTTCGATGGAGCATGTGTGGTTTACCGGCACGTCGAATAGGTGATCGTTACAATGAAGACACCATGTGAATTTGCATGGTAATTCACACCCGCTTTATGATCCTTGGTATCCCAGTCACAAACGAGAGGGGCATATCGAGATTTAAACATGCCATTGAAAAGTTTCAATGAATCTCATTCAAACCTAGGAATTCTCAATACATTTAGAACTTAAAGTTATGTTTTCATGGTGTAGAATTAGTGAATCGTCATTCACTTACCTTCAAATTGTTTGCATGTTAGATTACGACATCCCTTTTCTAATATGCAAATATTATTGTTGGATTCTAGCCCTAATTTTTCTTATTGGGTGATTATTAGGGATCCAAATTCTAATCTAACTTTTTCCTTTCTATTTATAGATGTCAAACGCAAACAACGCTGCTGCAAGCTCGTTCACATTAATGAGCCTTTGCCAAAAGGTTACTTTCGATGGAACGAACTTTAGCAAATGGATAAGATAGATTTGCACGATTGCTCGCTACGAGGACAAGGAGTATGTCCTCGATGAGAAGCTTGAGAAGATCAATCTTGAAATCGCTACTCCGGTTGAGATCACCGCTTTTGAAACTCATGAACGTGATGCAACGAAGGTTCATTGCATCATGATAGCCACTATGAAATCTGAATTCCAAAAGTCGTACGAGGACATGTATCCGTACGAAATGCACCAAGACTTGTTGGAGAGATACCACCAAAACGCGAGACAAGAGCGTTACGAGATTTTCACTAACATGATTTCCGCTAAGATGGGTCATGGAGAATCTCTTACCGTGCACCTGCAAAAGATGCAAAGGTATGTCGATCGTCTTCGTAAGTTGAATGTTGACTTTGGGGAAGACTTGGCGATCGACATGGTGCTTCACTCTTTGCTTCCGTGTTACAATCAATTTAGGATGACCTATCACATGAGCAAGGAATAGGTCACCCTAAGTAAGCTCCAAGGTCTCCTTAGGGTTGCTGAGAGCAATCTCAAGGAAAAGTTCGTTGCACCTACTCCCAATCCACCCGTTGCTCCTGTTTTGGCCATTGGGCAAGGAAGAGGAAGGCTCCGTCTAAGAGCCACCACAAGAGAAAGTCCCAAGATGG